GATCAAAAAATTTGACGATATGTGACCAGTAAATAAATCTGTAATTTAAAATTATGAATATGTGACCATTAATCACAAAATGTGGCTTTATTATCTTTATTTAATAAATATTTTTAATTAATTAAATCCATACCTGATTTTTGAATTTTTAAACTATTTACCTTATTTTTGAATTGAGGTAAAGAATACACCTTAAATATGAATTTTTCCCAAAAATCAGCAATAGCGGGTGGGCCGCTAGTTTGTAAACTGAAGTCCACCCAAGGCCTAATTTCCAATTTTTGCCATTTAGTCTTTTAACTTTCTAAAACTTCTATTTTGGTCCCCCAAAAATTTCCAATTGTCAATTATTCGTGCTTAATCTCATGATTTCATCCATTTGCTCCAATTACTTCTTCCAATTGATTGATTGCAACATGTATGATATTCCAATTAAGCTCAAAATCACCACCTTTTGCACTAATTGCGCTCAATCTTGATCATTGCCTACAAATCACATAATTTCACATATTTAAGTAGAAATTCGCTCAAATAAGTCATAATTTATCAAGATTAAAAGCGTAAATAAGTGTCTAAAATACACTTATCGTGCATTACTAGCATCAATTGCTAGTAAAATTAGAGAAAGATTGAAGAAAAAATAGGTTTGGGTTCGAAGTAGATAGTTTGCAGATCTACAAAAAAATTGTTTTGATTTTTATTTTTCTAAATAGCAAAACCCTACATATTATTGTATATAATTTGGGCTAATTTGATATTTGTTGAGTTCAATTTGTTTTTTTAAGTTATAAAAATGGGTTGAGCTTTGTTAGGATAATTTTGAAACCATTTTTTAACACAAATGCGAGTGCATTTTGATGTTCAATAGTGCATATGAGGTCAACAAAATGAGTTGACCACATCATCATGTGCATATCCAGGGGATGGACACGGACATTTTGAGTTAGAGGGTACAATCAAACCTTGTACAAATCGAATACTTTGTTTTTGAATTTTGAATTATTCATAATTTACCCAAGAAAATGCAAATTTACTTTTTAAAAAATTTCTTCATTAATATTTTGCTCATCATTTTCATCCATTTAATTTCGAATTGTTATTTTATTAATAGTTTGCTCATCACAAGAAAATATTTATTTACATTTAAAGAATTTATAGTGTATTTGATACAAACAATCAGTTCAAGAAATTCAAAAGAAAAATATATAATCAATATTCAATACTAATAATCAAATCAAATAAATACATTTCTTTAAATAAAAATCAAATTGGACATAATCATTTCAAACACATTCTATCTACACTATTTGATAAGAGAAAATGCAAACCTAGGTTCTAATTAGTTGAAAATTTGATTGAAATTTGAAGATTTGTAGTACTTGTATAATTTGTAGAGAAATTTTAAGGGGTAAGATTTTGGTAAAAGGCATGAAAGATTGAGTCACTAGAGAGTAAGAGAAAAAAAAAAGAAAAAATTCAAATTTATTGTGATTTTGTCTCTATTTGGTAGAAATTAAAATCAAAATTTTAGTAAAGTTTGATAAAAGTTGAAAAGTTGTAAATCACATGAAATATGTTATTAACAACATGTTTGGTACATATTCTCATTTTTTTTACAGTAAATCAATTCTCATTTTCAACCACACATTCTTCAATAAAATAACATTTTCCATCACATTAATACTTTTTTCTTCTTTTTCAACCACACATTTCTCATCATATCACTATTCAAAAATTAATTTTTCCCCCAAAAATCCCTACCAAACACACTCTAAAATTCATTATTAACTTTGATTTAAATTAAAATATAGATTTGAATCCATACCAAACAGAACTTTATCAAACAAAAAAAAAAAGAAAAAGAAAAAAAAATTCCAAAAGTTGGGGGGTCACGTGACCCTAGGACCCTGTGTCCGCCACTGCGTATATCCCACATGAGGGGCATTTCAAAAAACGCATCAAGTATATGCGTGAATTTTAGAATATTGTTTACAATCAAATTTGGTTTTGATTTTGAATCTCTTAATATGTTTGCAAAAAAAAAAAATTGTCACCTAGCATTTAGTGTTTTTGTATTGTCAAATCATGTCTAGTTCCCGAATACTTGGATTCATTTTTTTCTCACAAGCTCGATAATTGAGCTGCAAACACGGACTTCAAATCTCAGAGAGAACTTTTGAAGAGATTCATGACAAAAACTTTTGCCAAAAACACATCTTCTAGACGAAGATATATTAAACACCTAAATCCAAGAAACTTTCTAGAGGTCTTCATAATGCATGATTGTAAATGCAAGTATTGTAACATAGATTTGAAGAAAATCCAATATGGAAAAAATTATCATATATTTATTCGTAGAGTTATGCCACAATAAAATCAATTGACGTCTTGTGTCGAAAGGTTGAGCATTTAATGTCATTCAACTACGAACCTAAAAAAAAAGCCTATGTCTTCCATTCTATCTAAACTCCCCCCCATCGACCTGAAGGGAAAAATCGTCAACGATCACAAGGAAAAGAAGAAGCAACTAATTCATCAATAACTTCAAAATATATTACTTCCATTTCATGCCAATTATTTATTTCCTTTGCAATTTCATTCCATTCCATGTAACGCTTGGCTGCCTAGTTATATGTTGGGGAGGTGCTTCATACATAGTCAATTGTATATCCCATATTCGGTTCAATTAAAAAAATTGATTAAAATTTAAGTTAAAATCAACGATTAATTTTAACCACACATTTCATGCGATTCACAATTTTTCCACTACAAATTTTATCAACTTTTATTATAATCTATAACAAAATCATATTTTTGTCTAAAGCAATATTTTTATAAATTTGAGTCAACCCTAACTCTCACGGAACACACATCATGACACAAATGTACCTTTCCAACTGACTCTCCTCAATTTTTATCCTTAGCCAAAATTATACACCAAGATTTTCTACCCAAAATAATAATGAAGAAATAGCTTATTAAATCACAAGCGTTTCTCCAAAAAAAATGCTAAAAGCTCACCCATCATAAAATATGAATAAAATAAAATAAAATTGTATCAATATATTTGCCATCACGAAAAAAATCGTAACAAAACCCGAGCCGATCGCTCAGACTGAAAAATCGACGGCCTAAGCCCTTGACTAGGTTAGGTGGGATGATATGATCAAAATGCAACTGTCCCGATCAAAATCTAGTCAATCGAGTTTCAAAAATTTTCCTTTAAAATTTTAGAGTTCAAGGAATCGAATCCTGAATCTCCAGATAACAAGAGTAACAATCAAACAATATTTATTGTTTTCTAAAAACATTAAAAAAAGTTTATAATTCAACATTTTACTTTTTTTTGTAATACAACAAAATTATTTTATAGACTTAATGTATGAAACATAACAAAAATGTTAATAATATAATATACAAAATTATAAAATCAAACTGTAACCATTTATACTAATAAATGAGGTTAGAAAATCAATAATTTAAAGGTACAAAAATAATAAGTGACAAATGACTTTAAAACTTTAACTTTTTTGTTTTTTCAAAAAGAAATTTTTGTACATAAAAAAGTAATTGATTTTCAAAAAATATCCCATCGGTCCAATCAATGAATTACCCAATAACCTAGTACCTCAGTCGAATTGTGTTTAACTACTATTCTATAATGAGTAGATATCATTATAAATGAAAATTAATTAGTCAATTCCATTCATGCATTTTCACTAATTTGTCATTAAATCCATCAGTGATTATTGAGAAAAATAATGTTTTCGTAGTGATTTTTTTTTTTTTGAGAATGTATGGTTAAAATATAGGAAAAAACTTTTGGTTTATGTACACAATATTTTATTTTTTGTTGATGTAGGAACCCGCAGTCGCTACCTGTCGTGGAGGCCCGATCACTGTGATTGCACACTAGGTAAACCTCGCTCCATGTACAGTAATCCGCAAAACCACACATGAGAGATAAATCGCATTAAGCAAGCCCAGTGCGACCGGCTCGACCGAAAAAGTGTCGGTAGAGGATTCAAACTCATGACCTTTGGTCTCTACATTCGCTCCACCAACTCGGTCATAATATTTTATTATGTAAATATATGGTTGAAAATGAGTATAAAAATTAAAGAGTTTCGATTTAAAGAGAGACAAATGGGCAAAAACTCGAAATTAAAGATTTTTCCACTTCATTTTTTTTATTATTTATGGAAGAAAATTATTAAGAATTTCGTGACATTCTCGATTTCCAATATATATCGCCCCTTTAAAATTCATATCTCGATGTCCCTCATTCCAATAAATTTCCGCCACGTCACCATTACGCCTGCGTGGCACATATTTGTACCAACTTATATAAAGGAACATCACTCTCTTGCATTTCCTCTTCCTCACTCTCCCTCCCAGGCTCCCCTCACAGACAAGAAAGTTTCATTTTGGAGTGTGTCTGAACTGTAGCGATGGAAACTAGGGTTTTCAGTGCCATTTTGGTGCTTGGTCTGGCTCTTTTGGCCCTGATGAAAGTATCAGCACTTGCTGAGGAAGGCGAGAAAGTGTTGACTTTGGATCATTCCAACTTCTCCGAGGTTGTGTCCAAGCACGACTTCATCGTCGTCGAATTTTACGCTCCTTGGTATATACATTCAAAAATCCTCATCTATATCTCTATATATGTGTTTATTTGTAATTTTATATCGCAGCGATTGGATTTCTTTCAAATTTAATTAATCATTTCCATTTGATTTTCTCTTGCAACAGGTGTGGGCACTGTAAGGCACTTGCTCCAGAGGTAATCATTTCTACCTTTATAAACCCAGAATACATTCCTTTTATGTTCATGTTATTTATGCTGATTGTCTTTTTTTTTACCTTTTCAAAATCTGTTAGTATGAGAAAGCTGCATTGGTACTAAGCAGCCACGAACCCCCTATGGTTCTAGCAAAAGTTGATGCCAGTGACGAAGCGAACAGAGAACTAGCAATTGAATTTCAGATCCAGGGTTTCCCCACTGTTAAGATCTTAAAAAATGGTGGGAAGAACATTCAAAAATATAATGGCCCTCGTGAGGCTGATGGTATAGTTGATTACTTGAAGAAACAAGCTGGTCCTGCATCCGCTGAAATTAAATCAACGGAAGATGCTGGTAGTCTGAACAATGAGAAAAAAATCTTTATCGTAAGTCATTCTTTTAATATTAATCTTTGTTTATTGGTTAACTATATGGGATTCTGAGATTATGTGCATATACGTTCTTCAAGGTTGGGGTGTTCCCAGAATTTGCTGGGGAGGAATTTGAGAATTTTATGGCCTTAGCCGAAAAGTTGCGATCGGACTATGATTTTGGACACACTCTTGATGCCAAACTCCTTCCTCGGGGTGAATCAGTACAGAAGCCAACTCTTCGCTTGCTAAAGCCTTTCGATGAACTGGTCGTTGATTTCCAGGTATAATAGGATTGTATTTTCCTGTTCTTTTGCTCCAGCCTAGTGTTTGCATTTGGACACTTCTTTTTCCTTTTCCGTTTACCTTTTGATTTATTTAATCTTTACATTGTGTCTTCTTTTTGTTGCAGGATTTTCAAGTTGCTGCATTGGAGAAATTTATCGAAGAAGCTAGTATTCCTGTTGTGACTATTTTTGATAAAGACCCAATCAATCATCCATATGTTAACAAATTCTTTCAAAGTCCTAATGCTAAGGTACTCAGGCTCTTTTTATTCGGAACTGGGGGCTCATATGCACTTGTTATGCAGTCGTACTTAATACATATATTTCAATGAGTTATACTGTTTATCAGATGTCTATGCTAACTTCTGTGCATTAAGGTAATAATTTATTAACTGAGACAACCCGCTTTATGCATGATCATATGCACTTGTTATGCAGTAGTCTTCATAACAAATACTTCAATAAATCATAGTGTTTATTTTATTTCTATGCCAACTAAGTGCAATATCACAATGGAAGTTCGATGGTTTTGAGTTTCTCTTGAAAGAGTGAGTTAATAAAATTTCGATCAAACTTGAATTTATAAAAGAACTCTACCTTTCAAGTTTCAACATCTCGAATTCTTCTGCTCTAGTTTACAAACCAAAATTCTTGTTGTGACATCCTCAGATTTTAGCCGAGTGTTAAACTTATTTTCCTTGTACATGTTTCTGATCCTTGTAACTCTGCAGCCTCCATTTGTCATAATTGCATATGTTTCTATTCTTAGTAAGGAGAAAACTAAATGCTATGTGATGTTTTTGTAGCAATTATAACTTGTTGGAAACAAGATATATCTTTGCTCCCTTTGAGAATTGCTAGTCCGTGTAACTTATCCCAAGGATATATTGTTCTAATTAGAAATTTGACATGTACAGGCTATGCTGTATGTGAACTTCAGCAAAGAGCTTGATTCTTTCCAGTCAACATATAAGGATATTGCCAAGCAATCCAAAGAGAAGGGTATAAACTTTCTGTTGGGTGACCTTGAATTCGGTGAAGGTGCCTTCAAGGTTGTCACTTGCTCCTTACTCATTTTCTTTTCCTTTTTTGACTAGAGAAATTGTATTTGACCTGTAAAAATTAATGTAATCTGGCTTGCAGTACTTAGGACTTAAAGAAGACCAGGCGCCACTTCTTATTATTCAGAAACCTGATCGACAGAAGTACCTCAAGACAAACATAGAACCTGCTCAAATTGCACCATGGCTTAAAGATTACTTGGTATACTTATTCTTCTACTTATTGACCGTTGTTTATGATGATTAAACTCTTTTTCTGAATTATAACCACTAACTTCTTGTATATATTGACACTGCAATTATTTGCTTTTCTCCGTTAACTTCTCTTTGTTTAGTATTTGGGTCTTATTGGTGTTGAAACAAATTCGATCATTTAGTTTCTGCTTGAAATGGTTGCAGGATGGCCTAGTGAAGCCATTCATAAGGTCGGAGCCTATTCCCGAAGTCAATGATGAACCTGTCAAGGTGGTCGTTGCAGACAGCCTTCAGGACATGGTTTTCAACTCCGGAAAGAATGGTTTGTGCTAGACTTTTTAAAATGTTTTTGGTATGTATTTATTTTTATGTCACCGGTGGTATGGATATTCTGCTACTATCCAGCTTTGATATATAAAATTTGAAACGAAATATTTATCTTGTGCTTATAATCAGCCCAAATGTTAAATTTGAAACGAAATATTTATGTCACTGGTGATATGGACTTCTGATTTATTTTTTTGTGTTTTTTCTTGTTCTCTTGTATGTATATTTTTATGTAGATTCTGTCAAAGTTCATATTAATGGCCAATTGTGTACCTAATATACTTTCATCAAGTACAATGAAACTCTTGTAACTAGACGACGTACCCCTTCCATTCTCTTTTATGAATCCGAACAATACTTTTTCTGCTACAACCTCAAGATTTATCTTTTAAAGTATTTTTACAGTGGTTTCGATATCTGTGCTATGTTACTATATAATTATGGATTTTTTATTTTTTTTATCTCAATAGTTCTGCTAGAGTTCTATGCACCATGGTGTGAAGCCTGCAAACAGTTTGCTCCAATTTTGGATGAAATTGCTGTCTCCTATACAAATGATCCCGATATCGTGATTGCGAAACTGGTAAAATTCCCCGTCTCTTGATTTTCATCTGCTCAATTTCCTTTTTCTTAATTTATCTATGTTATCTAAAATCTCCAGTATCTTCTTTCAGGATGCAACTGCAAATGATGTCCCGAGGGGCACTTTCGAAGTTCAGGGATTCCCTACTTTGTACTTCAGATCTGCAAATGGTAACTTGGAGCAGTATGAAGGGAACCGAACAAAGGAGGACATTATTGACTTCATTCAGAAAAGCCGGGACAAGTCTGCTCAAGACGACACAGCTGAACTAGAGTCTACCAAATCTGAAACAGTAAATTCAAATTCAGCTAAGGATGAGCTATGAAGAGGTAACGTAAACTTTGATTATCATCATCATTTTATTCTGATCCAACGGGAAAATTTTATTGCAACTTGCTTCGTTTTCTCTATGCCAGGCTTTGCTTCCAATGAGAGCGTCGAGGAGCTTTCTACGTTAGCTGATTAGAATTTGGTTTTGGGTAGTTAGCCATCAGATTCGCATACCATGTAATGGATTATAACAGCAAATTTCATATCCCTTTTAATTTTTCAGTCATCCTTATTTAAGGAAAAATATTGAATTTCATCAGTTTATTTAAATATATTACGTTGGATAACATGAATCTTGATAATATATTGGTTAAATGGAACCACCCAAAAAGCTTACAATAGTGAACAAACGGTAGAAAAGCTCCAAATACTATTTCTTCTTGGCAAAATCATCAACTGGCATTAATTGTGTCACTGGCCGTGGCCAGTGAGTTGGTGGTGGTTCTGGGCATCACGCCTTTTACCCCATTCATGAATCCTCAAGTGCCGCTCCATCGCTGCAGTCAAGAAATGTACAGCCTGAACTGGAGTTAGAATTTTAACTTCTTGTTTGAACCTTAAATATTTCATCACCCCTTTGCATAGCTTCCATCAAACCGTCCTCCTTCGGAGCCAGAGCTGCCTTGACTTGGCCGTCCTCCACCGCACCACCGCCTCTTCCTCCCTCATTAACTTGGGCCACAGTCTCTTGTAACTTGGCATGCTTCTCAGCAATCTCCTCCTCCTCCCTTGTAGTATTCTTCTGCAATTCATTCACCTGCTCTAGTGAGTCCTCTCATCAACTCAGAGAGTCTGGCCTCGAGACTAGAATACAAGAAGTGAAAAGTCATGTTTGGTGTTCTCAAATGAGCTACCTCTACACTTATGACTAGTAATTGAATTGTCTAAATTACACAATTGAATTTCAAGATTGATGATGTCAAATGAGTTATCAAATTTCAAAGTTAAATATATAAAATAATAATTAATATATAAAGGTTCGAATCACCCTTCTGATATGTTTGGCTCAAATTTATACACACTCAAATCACTTTTTATCCGTACATTTTGAAGAATTCACAAATATTATTCAGAACTCGTTTCTATTTATTTATAATGTAAACCATTTCCAAAAATGCTTAAGTTGAATACTTAATGTAATCATCGCCAATAATGAATATCATTACTCCGAAAATAAATATTATCGAAATCTTTATATAATAATGCTTTCTCCCGTTGATGCAGTTCGAAGCCAATATTTTTGACAGGAAATTTCTATAAAAAAATTTTCTGTTGTGGGGTCCCATTAGCCAATGCCTGCATGACAAATGTGATGATCCTATTTGTTGCAGCTAAATTCTTATTTATTTATCCATATTTGCATTCTATTCCATGAGGAAATAAGTATAATCTGCTCGACTCCTATTTTTATTGGGTGATGCTACTTGTACATCACGATGTGCATAGGGGGTTACACCCGGGTGTAACCCCCTATGCACATCTTGATGTACAAGTAGACATTTCCATTTTTATTCTTGCTTTCTTTCAATTACCCCCTTCCCCATTTTTTACATATATATATTATTGGAACCGATAAGAAAGTTTTGGTAATGTTACATGATAGCTATGTTAATTGCGTGAATCGCTCATCCTTCTATCATTATTATTAAACGATTAACTGAGAAGAAGAAATGATGAATTTAGGGTAAGGGATTTATGAGGATTTTAAAGGATTAAATAAAATAATAAAGTTTTGGGAAAGAAGATTAAGTGGGGTGTGGTGGAAAATAAAGTTTTAAATGTTTGAAATTGTATGTGATACATAAAAAATAATTGGGATATAATTTATAAAAGAATAAAAAGTTTGGCTACTAAAATTGCAATTATCACTTTTCGATTTTGACATTTGTACTGTTTTTAACGGCAAATTTGACGGTATGAAGGTTTTTTGCATAAAAGGTTTCAAATATGGGGTTTCTGCGATTTTCAATAGATAAGTATATCACAAATGGAAATTTTTCTAGGAAGATTTTCTACCATTAATCTGATATGTAACTTAAATACATATATATAAATACATGGGGAGTATGACATGGTGTGTTTGAATTCAACAATTGGATAAACTTCTGATTCATTTGAGAAAATAGGGAAGGACATGAGGCTTATTTTGTTCCGTACCAAATTTCATCTCATACAGTACTAACCATATGCTTTGTTTAATTTTTATATATTTAATTTATTATTATATATGATTGTTGTTATATTAATATATTGATTCGTTTTTAATTTTTTTTATTGTATTGGCATATTAACATTTTTGAGTGTTTAAGATTCTGACTATATGACTTCACTTATCGAATAATTTATAGTTAAATTCAATAACAAATCGAAATAATTTTCACATTAATTTGTTATTTGAAACACATATTTTTAAAATTGTTATACAAAATGAAATGGAATCAACGCAATTTTTTTTTTTTTTTTGTTATGAACAAATCAAAATATATTAGAATTTCGGTTGTATATATGTTAATGTTTGTGCACTTAGTTCAATAATAAATCCCTAATAAGACTTCGACTTTTCGAAAATTCGAAAATAACATGCAAATTGCAATTTTCCTCTCATCAAGTCCAGCAATTTAGTAACAATATTTAACAAACATATTTGAATGACAATAATATGTTATAATTCGTCGTTAAGGGAGTGTTTGATGAATATTATTGAGAAAATAATATATTTTAAATAGTGATATGATAAGAAATATGTGGCTATAAAGTAAGGAAAAATTATTGATGTGATGAAAAATATTATTTTATTGAAAATGTATGGTTAAAAATGAGTTTTGAAAGAATGTATGTGTCAAACGGGGGCTAGATTAATACTGAAAAACAAGTGCCTGAATAAAGGGGGGTGGATGTAAGGTTGGGCAAAAATCAATCCAAACCGATCAAACCAATCCACACCAACCAGTTTGGGTTGGTTTTTGAAGTTCAATTGGGTTGGATTGGGTTGAAAAATCAAATCTAAGGTCAGGTTGGTTTGGGTATCGGATTATGAATTAAAATTCAATTCAACCCAACTCAATGAATTAAAAAATTTAATACCTAAAATGGAAAAATTTAAATAGATACAATATTGGAGACAAGATAATGATTTAGAATGTACAAATCTCTCTCTTTTTTTTACAGAGGCTGGTTGGTATAAATACTATGTACAAATACAGAATAATTTGACGATAAACTAAAAATTAAGGACGTGATAATGAAATGAATAAATCCCAAAACAGAAAATGCTCAATAATTTCAAACATATTTATAAATTAATTCTCAAAAAGAATTCCTTATATAGGTTTTAAATAATAGAGATTTTCACGTGATTTCAAATTTTAAAAATTATTCAAATTAAACAAAAAATGATCGGATCTAACTTGAATTGGGTCCAGCCCAAACCGACAGTTTGGTCGGTTTGGGTTGGATTGTGTTTAAACTAATAAGAGGAAATTACAACTAGACCTGCTTTTAGATTTCTATTTTCACAAATCCTATCACACATTTAAATTTTCAAAAATCAAGTTTTTTATATTTTATTAAATATTAATTAAATATTTATTATCCCAATTAAAAAAACATAATCAAACCCTACCATTTCTTCTCTCCTCTCCATCCCGTTCTCTCTACCCTACCCGACGCCGACGCCGACGCCGACGCCGACGCCGACGCTTCCCTCTCCTCTCCCATCTCTTTCTCTTTCTCGCCTGCCTCCCCCTCCCCTCCCCTCCCCCCCCCATCTGCTGCGATGCGAATCGCGCTGCTGCTGCGAATCGCGTCGCAGCAGCGCGATTCGCATCATCTGCTGCTGCTGCGACGCGATTCGCAGCAGCTTCTGCGAATCGCGTAGCAGCAGCAGCAGATGCTGCGAATCGCGCTGCTGCGACGCGATTCGCAGCAGCTTCTGCCTTCGGTTGCTGCTGAAGTTGTGGTGTGGTGCGGTGCAGTAGCCTCAACCTTTGGGGTTTTTTGGTTGTGGTGTGGTGCAGGCGGTGGTTGTATGGTGGTGGTCTGGTCCTTTTTGTTGGAGATGGTTGGGGCAACTTCTGCCTTCGGTTGCTCTTGAACGGGATGGATTTGCGTCGTGCGGTGCTGCTGTAGTTGCGTCGTGCGGTGCTGCTGTAGTTGCGTCGTGTGGCGGAGGTGCTGCTGTAGTTGTGCGTGTGTCGTGCAGCGGTGGTCGTGGGCTGCCCGTCTTGATTTGGTGTCAGATTTTTGGGCTATGTTTCAGTTGTGGATCAGGCGGCGGCGGCGGCACAGTGAAGGTGGTGGTGGGACGGTGGTAGCGGTGGTGATGTGCGGTTGGGTGTATTTGTTCTGTGTGCGGATGGGTGTTGTCTGGTTCCTTGGTGTTGAGATCGTGGTTATTGTTGTTGTTGGAGTGGTCACAGAAGTTGGCGGCCGTGGTTTCGTGTTTGGGGTGGTGTTGGCGGTGGTTGTGTGTTTTGCGTGTGATTTGTGACTTGGTGCTGCCGTGGTGGTCACAAACGATTTTGGTGGTGGTGTGACCATTTTGGTGGTTCCGTGTTTGGGTGGTGTTGGCGGTGATTTGTGACTTGGTGGTGGTCACAAACGATTTCGGTGGTGGTCACAAACGATTTTGATTGTTTGTGACCATTAATTATTAATTGTGACCAAAAAATTATTAATTGTGACCTAAAAATTATTAATTGTGACCAATAAATTGATAAATTGTGACCTAAATAAGTATTGTGACTTATAAAATTTGTAATTTGTGACCGACAAAAAAATTGTGACTTTTAAATTTTTAAGTTGTGACCGATGAACAAATTGTAACCTATGAATTTTTTGAATTGTGACCTAAAATATTTCGAATTGTGACCAAATTCTATAGATCTGTGACTGTTATATATTTATTAATAAAACATATAATTAATTAAGTAATTCATAAATAAATTTAAATAAAAACCTGATTTTTGAATTTTAAAACATCTAACCTTAATTTTG